AATGATCAACTAATTTTAATTATATTTTCAAACAATTATGCGGTAATGTCTAGATCATAATAGTCAGTATCATATTGGTCTTGAAAAGATACCAAGGAATTTAGGTATTGTTTCAATTAAAATTTTGATGTGTTTAAGTTATTTCGATAAATATCGACTTGTATCAGTATATAAGGACTCGTATCAATTAATACAAAATTTTAAATTAATTTTTATTTTTATATAACTTGTAGACAACTGTTTTTGTCCGGGTCTACCAAAAATATTATTATTATTAATTATTACTTTGTTTACAATTTTGCAGGCTTGGTCTGGAACCCAATTATAAAGGCCCGACATCCAACCCAAAGCCCAACAGCAACTATAAGACCCAAACTCGGTTACAACCAGACCCAAACCAGGTCCGGATCTTACCCAACCTAATGCACCTAGGGTTTCTAAGACCCTAAAGCTTCAGTAGTCGCCTCCTCCTCTTGGCCTTCCAGTTCCCATCGCCGGCGCGTGAGATGCACATGCTCATTCAACCAGTGTGTGAACCGTTGTCGAGTACTCTCACGCTGCCGTCGTCACCAAAACCTGCCAAATAGCAACATAATTATCATTCACAGTGCACTATATTACCCAAATCAGAGAAAAACAATTAATGTCAGAAAACCCATACCTAAATCCCCAAATTTCGGGATTTTCACTTACCTAAATCAGTAAGCCCATACCCCTAGTCTTAGATTTAATCATATCATTTGCATGCAAGGGATATAAGCAAAACACAGAGGAGATAGGGAGGGGATTCGGTGGAAAAAACGAGAGGAAAAAATGGGAGAGAACCGAAACGAAAAAACTAGAGAAAACAAACAAAAAGAAAAGTGAGGAATTGAAAAGCCTTACCTCTTGAGCCATCCCCGTCGTGAGTATCACCGTGACCAAAGCCACACCACCATTGAAGGTAAAAATCTTACCTTGGGGGTTTGTTGGGTTCTGTTTTTCGGTTGAAAAGGTGGGTTGGTTTTGTTTTAGTTGTTTTGAATCCTTGGAGTGCCTAGAGGAGGGGTCTTCGGGTTGTTTTGCTCACCGTGGCCACCGATCGACGGTGGCTAGGGAGTTGTGTTTGTCTCCTCGGCAAGAATAATATTAAAAATTATTTTTAATTTAATTTTTATATGAAAATTATTTAATTATTTCATGTATCTATATTTACAACAAAATTAAGATGTTTTGAAAATTCACATTGTAGTTGGACTTGCATGCAATTATATGGATAGACGTGTATAATTATATATTTTTTATTTTATAATTAATAATTATTTTAAATTTTAAATTTATGTAATTATATAATTATAATTTGTATTATTTTATATAACAAAAGAAATTAAGATGTAATTACAGTCTTTCAATGAAACATATTTAAAAATTAATATTATTCTTCATTATAAAGGTAGTTAATTATATTTTCAAACAATTATGCAGTAATGTCTATATCATAATAGTCAGTATCTTATTGGTCTTGAAAAGATACCAAGTAATTTAGGTATTGTTTCAATTAAAATTTTGATGTATTTAAGTTATTTCGATAAATATCAACTTGTATCAGTATATAAGGACTTGTATCAGTTAATACAAAATTTTAATATTTTAACTTATTTTTTATTTTATCTATTTTATTTTTATATAACTATATTTAAAAATTTAATTAAAATAAAAAATTAAATAATAATATTTATATTTAAATATAATATATATAGTAACTGTGATATATTTAAATTATACGCAATACATATAGAAAATATTTTAAAACATAGCGATGAAATTGAAATTATATGTTAACATATAGGATAAACTACATTTGTGGTTATTGAAGTTTTAAGACATTTTCAATTTGGTTACCGAAATTGAAAATTTTACTTTCGAGTCATTAAACAGCTAATGATAATTGATATGGAACGCCCACATATCAATAGAAATTGGATCAACATGTCCACGTGTTATTTTTTTCTTAAAAATTAATATCTCTAATAAAATATCAAAATGAAAGGGGCTTATAGCGAATCAAACTTGGCACTTTGGGGAAATATTTTGAACATCCGATCAAATGTCATCATCTTATTGAATATATTAATTTATTAATAAAAATAACATGTGGGCGTGCCATATTAATTATCGTTAGTCGTTTAACTATTCAATGACCAAAATGAAATTTTTTCTTAATAGTAGTGACTTTAATAAAAGGTTTTCATTTTTTATTACTAAAATGAAATTTTTGTAAACATTCAATGGCAAACCAATGTAATTTACCTAAAATATATCAATACTACAAACTTTTTTAAAAAACAAAAGGACGGTACCAGTCATAAGGTACTAAATACTTTGGTCCAAAGACATTTTATAAGCACAAATGAATGCATGATTTTATGATAGATTTAATATTCAAATAAATTTTTAAATTATACATTTTTTTGAATAGTTTCTTACAGTATATTTTGAACAATCCAGGTGCTTAATGTTATAAAGGTGACCACTTAGATGCTCGGGATAACGATCGTTAGTTTTCTTAATTAAGTGATATGTGTTATAATATGATAATTTTAAAATTTACTTTTTTTAAAAATTATATATATTAAAATATTATTATATTTATTAAAAACCCTTATTTATTTTAAATTATAAAAAAAAAACCCCTCAAAATCTCTAAAATCCCCAAATCTTAACACTAACTACCGCCGTCCTTTTCGGTCACAATCACCACCGTCGACGTAGTCTTTATCATCATCCTACTTATAAGTCGTCGTAGTTGTAGCCGATTGGGCGTTGGAATCGCTTGGGATCACGATTTTCATCCTAGGGTTCACAGGGTATAAAACGTCGATTCGTAGTCGATCAATCACGATTTTATAGGGGTTTTGGTTGCGGGGGAGGTGAAGTCAGTTGGAGCTTCGTCGACGGCAAAGGATGGCCGTCGGCGTGAGTTTAGGGGTTAAAATGAAGTTTTTTAAAGTTTGGGATTATTCCAAATTTATGTGTTTTTTTTTTAAAATATTATTTTTTAATTTTATATAAAAAATATTAAATTATCATATTGTGAAACATATAATTTAACGGAGGAAATTAACGTCGTTGACGGCTTGGACACCTAAAGTGATAACGTTTATAACTTTCGACACCTGCATGGACAAAAAAATATTGTAGGCACCTATTCGAAAAAAAAAATATAGTTTGCACACTTATTTTGATATTAAGCATGTATAATAAAAAAAATTGAACTTTTAAAATTTTACAACACTGAACTTATAAAATTTTAAGAAACTCAAAATAAATTATCAATAAAAAATATAATAAAAAATCTAAAATACATTACTAATTTATTAACCACTTTCTTCCAACCTTACCTACAAGTCTACGACAATCCCCGGTTGATATGCATTTTCATTTTTAATAAATTTAAAAGGGTTTAAACGAATTGAACTTTTAGTTCGAGGGTAGGTTAGAGCCCAACCCAAACACCATGGAAAGAGAAAGTAGGCATTCAAACACTTGTGTCTATCTTTGAATTCTGATTATCTTTATAAGACTCCTGTAACGAGTGATTTTGGCACAATCAGGGATAAATAAATTTCGTCTTGATTATAAAAATTTATTTTTTTAATTTTAAATTATCAAGTCAGTTTTTAAGTTCGAATCAAATTAAAATTTGAAAATTTTGAGTCACTTGTAAAATCGAACAACTTTGTGATTTAGTCTTTGGTTTCCTTATTCCTTCATTTTAAGTCTACTATTTTTTTTTTATCAAATTTGAATCACATGCTTCTAAAACTATGTTAGAATACTTATGTACTTTCAATTCCTTTTTTTGATAACATATTTTATATTTTTTTCAATTTAGTCCCTCGACTTTGTATGATTTCCTTATTTTATTTTTTCAATTCATCCTTCATTTTAAGTTCAACCAAATTTGAACTACATGCTCCCCTACCACTATAGAATACCTATGTAACTTCAATTTCTATTTTTTTTTATTAAAAATATACTCTTTTTTCAATTTAGTCCATGAACTTATTTGGGAGGATTTTGAACTGCCTTATGTTTCTCCTAATTTTCCATTTTTTTTTTTTACATTTCATGCTAACATGCTAGCTATTATAGTCACTAGTGTTTCTTGTTTTGGTGTTGGGTTGTTTTGTGTAGGGGCGAGGGCTTTCAGCTGAGAAATGTTTAGTGTGATCTCTTAGGATCTTACGTAATCAAGTGTATCAATTAAATAAATATATTATGGGCATTCTTTCTCCCTTATTGCTGCTTTGATTGATCCTTGGATCGACTATGTTGAGCGGGTTTTTTTTTTATGAGTCCCACTTTTCCTTTAAAAAAAAACTTTATATTTTATTCGATTCAATTTTATGAATGTAGTTATTTGCAATTGTTTAACGAATTTAAACATCTTTCGCCTCCTACAAGCTACCATCACGACCATTTTGATTTTGTATAACCAGAATTTAGAGTTGAAAAATGACCAACACCTCCCCTATAAAACGGAATCAAAGCTCCAAGGCCAGTGCTGCTTAAATTCATGAAAAGATTGAACTTGGTATTTAAGTTAATCAATAGAAAATAAAAACACATTAGGCAGGGAATCCAACCTTCACTTCATCATCCCCACCCCAACAATCTAAACAGACTGAAGTTTCGTTCACTGTTACTTATTAAAAATGTTTTTGGGTCAAACATATTTTGAGTCATAAATAATATTAAACAAATAAGTTTAGAGAAAATTATGTTTATTAACATCACTACTAAATAACTAAATCTTTTAAAATCAAATTTTAAAAATTAATTTTTCACTTTAACTTTTTTATTAAATTAAAAGTGATTATACAGTAATATCTATTTAAAGTACTTTCATTTATTTTATAAAGAACATTCAATCACCCCTATAATCATAATTGTTTAAACACACATGCTCTAAAAATATCAACAATTTTTTTAACTACTAAAATAATTTCATTCAGTCTCGCACTTCAATTTTTAAAGACAATACTCCTAAATCATAATTACTAGAACTCCAAACGCAAGCGTCCCGCACGTCCACGCACCACAAAAATTTAAAAATACTTTTTTACTAAACAATTACTCCACACTTCCCTACTAACTCTGCTGGCCCATCATGACCTGCCCTTTTCGTTATTTACATTCCTTGCGTTGTCCAGTGCCTCAAAAGAACAGTTCAATAAAAAAGCAAATAATAATAATAATAATAAGCATTATTATTTTTTAATTATTATGTTCTTGTGCAAGAACCTCTATTGTCGATGATGATGGCTTCCCCTTCGAGTCTCTGCAACCGCTGACACATGGGAATCACAAACATGAGTCTTGAACTTGCACCCAAACCTTTTATTCAGTGATCCTCTCCAACCACCGCCACGTGGTGTACCTTCTTTCTCAATATTCTGGATCACTTTCTTCATTGTCGAACATTCCTTCTCTAGTTGATGTACCCGCGTCCTCATGCTATCCATGCCCAGTCGCAGCACCTGATTCTCCCTTACGGCTGCTCTCCACGTGCTACTACTACTTCTTCCTTCCTCCTCACGTGATTCGCCCACCCTTTCTTCCTCTTCTCCTCCCTCGTCCTCTCTCCTCGTTTCCGACAACCTCCCCACATTCATCGGCGCCGCTTCCGCCTCCAACAACGTCCCGGCAATCGCGTGGCGTAGCTGCAACTGCTCGAAAAACAACACTTGGACCACCGCCCGTAACGGCAACCGCTCGTTTTGTGCCGCGTGCGTGCATGCTTCCAGTGTCAGCTTTTGACAGTCTAACACTCCGCATATCTTTTCCCGCTCCGATTCCGGTATCCAAGGATGCGCCTGCAAAATAAAGAAAAAAAAGGCTTAATTAACTAACTTCAATAATGTTTTTAAAAATTTAATACTCTTTTTAGTACCTTGAGGTATACGTCAACAGCTCTGTAAAGTCCGTCGTCGAAGTTTCTAGCTTGACCGGGAAGTGAAATTTCGAGATTATAGAACTTCTCCGACTTCAAATTGGCGTCAGTTGCGATCTCGGAAAGGTAACCGTCGATTAATTTACCGACGAGCATTAATGCAGGCAGCCTACTGCTATTAATAATGTTATCGTTGTTACCTTCGTTTTCGGCTTCGATTCCTTCTGCTTTTCCCTCTTCTAATCCTTCCAAAAAATAACCTAAAATCCTCTCAACGCAATCTATGTCATAGAGCGTCTCGTTGAGGTACGAATAGCTAGGGATTAATAGATCGTCTAGAGTAGCTTCCTCGAGGTGGAAACCGATCTTCCTCTCCAACGTGGCTTTGCTAGATTCAGATGCATTTAAAATATTAGCGGTTCGCAACAAAGCGAATAAGAATCGCGTCGCGGTTGTTGAACAGGTCGTTTCTAATGGGAGGTTCGATATAATAGTTTCCAAAAGCTCTCGCTGTTCACTCTCTGAAATAGCGGCAGCCGAGGACGATGACGGTTTCCGATTGGACCGCGACGTTCCGGGAATGTACTTCTTAGCGTAACACATAAGGCAGCTTTCGATGACCTCTGAACTCGGATCTCGCCCTTTCAACGTTAAAATGAAGCGTTGAAATAGCGGTAAACTCAGCAATGCCAGATCTTCAAACCACGACTCTACATTGTTTGTTCGAGCAAGAGCTTTTCTTCTCAAACCAGTTTCGACTCCGTTCCATAAAGCTTGAGTCGACGCTCCTTTAGCTTCAATCGCTCCGTCATTCACTGGCCAGCCAAACAGAGTCGGATCTACAAAAGAAGGTCTCGAGGCAATCGAATCAATCAATCTCTGAACAATGCCTAAAGATTCCGCTAAAGTCATCACTGATTCGCATGATTTTAACGCTTTGATCGATTCTTTAAGGCTTTTAAAAACGGAATGAGAAAGGAACCTTTCTGTTTTGGAAATAAGGTTATCCTCGGAGTACTCATCAGTCATTTCGAGAAATTCGGCGGCGCAACGGAGAGGAACAACGGTGGAGGATGAGAGATCGATTTTTACACCGTAACAGAATTTGGCGGCGGTCTCAAAAGTGTCCGAACCACCAGGGAAATCCTGGAGAGATATCTGGTAACAAGCCTCTTCTTCTTCATCTTGTTGCTCTTGATATTCATATTCCTCTGCTTCTTCTTCGATTTCAGTCTCGGTTTCACGTTGCTTCTGTTTGGCAACGGTTGCGGTAGATGGTTTCCGACCTTGGTCTTCTATTAACTGATCAAGCTTTCGGCTTTTGGATATCAATGGAAACTAATAGAAAAGCAAAAGAAAAATCAGTAAACAGAACATAGGTTTGTTTTAATGCCCCCCAAAAAATCAAGACCATGCTAACCTTATGGAGATGAAAAGTCATATCATCAACTTCAATGATAATATCAGTGGGTAAACCAGTGGCACAAAACCTGAAACTCAAAATAAGAAAAAAGAAAGAAAGAAAGAAGTTACATTTTGTGAAATGGATGAAATGAAAACTGAAGTGAAAATCTAACCATGCTTGGCCTTTAGAGCTAGGTTTGTCTGTTGCCATTTTTCCTCCGGATGAAATTCAAAATGCTTTGGATTTCCAGACACTCTTCTGAAGAAAACTAAAGTAGATCCATTCTTTTTCCTCTCTTTTTTCCTTCAAGTTCTTCAGTTTAGAGAAGAGAGCAGAAGAACGAATGGAAGGGACCGGGGTTAGGCGTCGGAAGAAAGGAAGAAGCTATTAGTAAAATAAAACAAGGTGGGAAATTCGGAATCCTTAAGTACTCAAACGTGGGACAAATGGAACTTGAACAAATATCGGGAAAAGAATATCAATTTTTTTTTTATTTTATAGCAGACTATATCAAATGCTACTAAATTTCTATTTTCTTATTAAAAATATTAAAAAAATAATAAATTAATATAATTGTGGCATTATACTTTAATTCCATACAAAATCATATCACTACACTACTAATTATGAAATAACATGTTAACGTGGATAATGGTTTCGATCAATGTCTTTATATGATTAAAATAACGTCATTTTACTGTATATATATATATATTTATATATGTATATGTATGTTGAGAACAATAAGAATTTTAGAAACCGTTTAATTTGTGTCTCAATTTTCATTAAATTTTAAAATAATTTAATTTTAAATATTAAACTTTTTTATTACCATTGACGTTTAATCATTGTCTGTCACTGATCGTTATTTACGATAAGATCAATAATAGAATGTTAGTATTTCACTCTTCTTCTTTCTCCTAAGATTGAGTTTCTATAAAATTTAATTAAAATCGACAAAAAACTATCTAAAAGTTTAGCGTGCTAATACTCTATTCTCGTATAATAATCGTCCAATGAGACTAGTTTGGGTTACGTTGTTTATTTTTTTTCAAAATAACGCTTCTTGTTGTTTGGATTATCAAAGAAGCATCTCAAACTCCTCAAATTCGAGAAATTCTTTGAACTCTAAAATATAATGCTTTTTTTGTTTAATTTCTTTAGTTTTAAGAAGCTTTGTAAAATCTAAGTTGATAAAATAGTAAAGGACCATGAAACGAGTTCATCAATGTCTAGGAAAATCACAAAAGACACAGGAGAGTGATAGTTTTTGACAACAACAAAATAATTAAAAATTTTAATTTTGATGAAGAAGATGATAAGATCAAATGAAAAGATAATCGATTTTTACGTTAATACTAAATTATCATGTCATACTATTGTTAATGATTTAATTATCTAATAATATAATTATATGCAAAACTAAAATTTAGTATCATTATTAGTTTACAATTTAAAAATATTTTTAAAATAAAAAGAGTTAGATGGTATTTGATGTAATTTATTGGAATTTTTATACCTAAAATAAAGTTTTCTTCTTCTTTTTAATCACATCACTCTCAAGCCTCAACTACTCCAACTCTTTGTCGGTCTAAAACGTGAAAGAGGGGGGAATGGGGGGGACCTATAAAGAATAGCTTTTTGAAGAAAAATAGGGAAAAAATACCATTTAAACATAGTAGATGCAGTTAACCCCATTTTGGCTGTCATCGCATTGCTTCCCATTTGAGTAACTAATAAGTTGTTTTATATTTACTAATCATTTTTAATGTGATATAATAATATCATAACTCTGCCCAAAAAATGTGAGTGAGAATTTATCATAATGGAATTAGTACACAGGACTTGTAGTTTATCAATAATGACCTTTTAATTTGTTTCTAGTGGTTAGAGATAGTCAGGGATTGATAGAGGGGATTGAGGAGAGTACGTGGGACAGTTATCATCTAAAAAATTTTAGATTAATATATATTTTATTTGTATTTTTTATTAATATTTTGTTTTTATCTTCTAAAATTTTATAATTTCACCTAATTCTAAAATTTTAGAAGTTCGACTCCCCTACCATAATATCTTACGTCGAATCCTTGGATATAGTATACTCAAAGCTAAGTTTCCTTAATAGAATCATCAACAAAATTATGGACAGTGAGTAGTGTCTACTCTTTGCTTTTCTTGAGTGAGGGCTTAACCAAAAGTTGGTACAAGAAACCAAAAACCCATAAGCAAGAGAACAAAATTGTCCTGTTAAAAGAAAACAACTAATTGAAAACGAAATTGATATTCCTTTCCCCAAACTTTTCCCTTGAGAGGGGAGGAAAAATTTTGAACTTTTGTGCGTTCAACTCTACCAATTGGTATATTACTTTCATTTAGAGCAGCATGTCCACCCACCCTCTTCCTTGCTTTGCATTTACGAGTACTACTAAGGAATATTACTCTGTTAATCTCCACCCATGGAAATTGACATCTATGTTAAACAGTGGATTCAAAAATATAATTTTTAGATTGTATTTTGATATGTTAACAACATAAAATGTTTTAATGTGTTTGAAATAAATAAATTTTTAAAGTAGATATTATCAATAAAATAATTAATTAATCGAAGAAAATTTAAATTTTATATTAATTACATACTTGCCCTGAAAAGTAGTGGATCCACCACTAGCTATGTCAAAGAAAAAAGGATTGAACAATTTTCCATCAAGGTGGGCCGAATGGGGATTAGACCTGATTGATTACTCTCATTGATTCTTTCTTTTATCTTGTTAAAAGGGCTCTGTCATATTCATTTAGTCATTAAACTACTAACACAATGATCATATAATTATGTTAAGATGGTGGTGGTGGTGAGCTTTTATTCAAAACTGAATCTTCTCATAATAATTGCTTTTGAATGAAAATTTGGAAGATAGACAAAATCGCTGAATTAGTAGACTCAATGAAGCACTTTGATTTTCGTGTTTTTCACATGGTTAGGTGGCTAATCATTAGACAAAGGATAATGTTTTCCTTTTATGTCTGCACATACCCTGACCATTAATAATGTCTGGTCATCACATCTTCTTTGGATCTAGGCAGTTTAAAGATGATAAAAATTATGGTAGATGCTGAAAATTCTTAAAAGTATTGTTAAAGATGATTATATAAATTAATTAAATTTAACTTTTAAATTTAAAACATTAATTCTATGAATAATTATATCAACTAATTGAAGTCTAATTCGTATTTAGAACAGTGATTCTTAGTTAGTACTTCCAAGTTTACATAAGTTCCGGTGGCAGTAATTGGTTTGGCTTTAAAATCCCTTCATAAACCAGAAGTAGAGATTTAATCAAAATTATATAGGTTTTTTTTATAAAAAAAAAAGAGAAATTAAAATTAAAGGTTTGGGCGGCAAACTATCGAGTTTTAAAAGGATCCATTAACATAAAGCATTAGTGTGGTATGGATGAAGAATGAAGACCATACCCCCAATGACCATTAATTTGTACTAGCAACTACTAAGCATGCATTATCAGAATCTAGGACCGAAAACATCAAGAGGCACTATTGTCATCTTTGTCAGATGATGGATCGGTGGCCGATTTCTTTACTGGGCTTGCTTCTACTGCTCCCGAACTCATCAAAACACGCTTCACACCTCTTCCTACAACACCGAGATGTGTGACCGCTGCAGCTCCATTTGTATGTGCAGTGGAAACAGTTGGGGAACCAAAACCTCCATTGCTGTTAACAGTAGCCATCTGTGATGAGCTACCCACAGCAGGAGATGCACTTTTCTCACCACCTCTCGCCTTTGCAGACACCATTCCCAGGATTTCTGCAATAACAGACTTTGGATTGGCGACCAGCTGTTGTAGATCTTCAAGCTGCAAATGTGGAAAGAGACAGAATCGTGAAGTTATAAACCAAGGTTTAGTTCAAATTAGTTAATCAAAATATACTTGCCTTCTTTTCCAGGTCTTCCGCAAGTCCAGCAAGTGTTTCAATTTCTGCTTCTTTATCTTTAACAGATATAACAGTCTGAGAGCCAGTGGAGGACTGCTGTACACCATCATCCAATTCAGATGCAGCTGAAGATGATGCTCGGCCTGAGGAAGTCTTTACTTCATCTCTAAGCCGCTGGAGCCGAGCCTTGCAAACAGAGATGGCATTCTGACAGAATGGAATTGCTTCTGCTGGTTTTGAGCCAATCTCCAAACACATACATATTCGAAAATTTCTAAATTATAGGGTTAAGTAGCAAAACTAGAACCTGAATGAAATGGATGACTAGAATTGGGGGATTCACAGTTTGACTAGCATGCACGGACCAACCAAGAATAGAACACTATTTAATTGAACCTGGCATTGAGTATTACATATCACACAAAGAATATCAAGCTAAATAATAATAATATTTCAAATATATCAAGGATACAGTTCAGCTATTTGTCGGTTATCGGGTTCAACCAGTCGTTGCAAAACGGATAGAGCTTTCTGGTAGTCGCCTAGTGAAGATTCAATATCCTCTAAAGAAGCATAACAGAGAAAAATGACAATTTAGGTGAAATAAGATGCTTCAAGAAAAAGGCTCTGTCAATTCGAGAAGGTTCATCATTCCCCCCCCCCACACCAAACCCCAACAAGTGCATGAATTAAAACAATAATAAGTAATCATGTACTGACCTCTTTCCAGTGCAACCTCAGCCAATGCTGATAAAATATCCACCATCTCCATGGTGTCACCCAGCTGTTGTTTTTCAGCAATTGCCCTGGCAACATCCAGCATTTTCCATGCCAAATCCAGGTCAGACTCATCCACATCCTCATCTGCTTCAGCCCCGTCTTCAGCTTCGCCGGCACTATCATCACTTCCCTCCTCATCTTTTCCACCAGAAGCACATAAGATAAGGATATAACTTAAATATGGGTAAAGAACACTTTAGTTTATAAGCAACATATGCAACAATAACTATAGAGATGATGGTGGAGCAGCTAAGCTAACTACAAGTCTACAATTGATAACAATCTGTAAGCAATGGCAACATTACCAAGACAGTGAAAACTATTCAACTACACTATGTATCTATGCTCAAGTTAACAGGGTTAAATAATCCCTTTATGATTACATACCCCCATTCAGTACAGTACTACTTGATACCGAAGCAACTGACAATTCACGAGATAGAACACTTTTACTTGGCTCATCTTTGTTTGATTCTTGCTGAGTCTCACCCTTCTTCTTTGGTACAGAAACCAAAGGATCAGCCTCCTCCTGTGCTTTATACAGCAGTGCACGCCCATAGAGATAGTACGCCTTGAGACATTCAATGGCCAGTTCACCATGATGTCCAACCCTAGTGTGAAATAAACATAATTCTAAGCATAAATAAACAACCTTGAAACATAACAAGTAAATTAAACTGCTAATGGAAACTCTCTAAATCAACCAACGGTTGTTTTTCCTAATGGCCTTTTACTTCCTCATAAATGTTCACCTAGTTTTTAATTACTTCACATAATAAAAGATTAGGCATGTTCTTATAAAACTTCAATATTTTACTTTTAAAATCAAGAAAGAATTCTAAAAAAATGGAGTAAAACACAAGCTCTAAATCATGAAATTATCTGTACTAATTGTAATAATTCATTTCCATTTCCTCATGTAAACCCTAAAAACATTCAAAGGTTAAAATTCAAAATGAGATGAAATGAAACAGATGCCAAATTTTTAAAACCTGATTTCAAGGGCACGGCTAAAGCAATCAGAAGCTTCGGAGAAATCATTTTCTTTAAAAGCCTTGGATCCTTTATCCGTCAACTCATCTGCAAACTCCAGCGTCTTCTCTCGATCAATACCCGAAACAAGACCACAGCTGTTAGAATTGTTGTTATTGTTGCATGTAGACTCAGTGCCTCCTTGAACCCCAGATTCGACAGTGGCTTCGATTGAACCTGGGGTTTCTAGGGTTCCACTTATTTCCGCCCCTTGAGTTTGCTCCGTCTTTTCCACCGTCACCTCTGATGCCGCCGCCGTACCTTCTTCAGCCATCACTCCTTTGCTCTACCGATTTCCCGAAATTGTAAAAAAAAAAAGGCAAATGAGAAGAGGTTTTTAGCTTTGGGAATTTATCTTGTGCTTCTTTCCGAAAAGGCCTTTTTGGCGGAAAATCACATAAAGTTGCAGATTTAGGAGGGAAGACCAAAATGTAAAATGATGTCGTTTCGAGTGGATAGCTTGCCGAAGGGTATTTTCGAAAGGGTAACCACGGTACTGGTCACTCAACTTTTAGGTTGTTTGCACTTTGGTAATCCAAATCAGATTTATTTTCATTTTGATTACTTCATTAAGTAATATTTTTACTTCGATCACTCTCCGCTAGAAAAGGTTTTTAGTATTGAGAGTTTCTATTGTTATTATTTTTTAAAAGCCATTTATGCAAAAAATCATATAAATTGGAGATTCAGGAGAGAAGATCAAAATTCAAAACATAAAACAACAGCGTTTTGAGTGAATAGCTAGCTGAAGAATATATTACATGTATATATTATATATAATATATATTTTTAAAATTTTAATGATATATATTTATCATTTTATAACTTATGATATATATATTCACTTTTTTTAATAATATTTTTAGTATTTTATATATATATATATTAATTTTTAATAATTTAACTTTTATTTTCAATATTTTACATTTATTTTTGAATATTTGAGTATTTGTATATTTAAAAGTTAAAATAATTTTATTTTAAAAAAATTAAATAAGTCCCTGAACTTTAAAAAGAAACTAATTTGGCTCTCGAATAAAATAAAAAAAATCTATATAACCCATTTTCCACGTCATTAGTCACTGTGGATTGCCATATCAGTACTATGAACCGCTACATCAACACCATGAATTGTCACATCAGTACTGTAACAGTCAACGATGGAAAGCATTGGTCAAAAGGACATATTAGTTTATTTTTTAAGTTGGAAGGTCATATTGAGTGAAAAAAAATAATTCGAGGGCCACATTAATTTTCTTTTTAAAGTATAGGGACCTCTGATGATTTTTTTTCAAAAAAATATTGTTTTTTTCTTGTTCGCTATGCTATTATATAATCCAAACCCTAGTTTTTGATTCTCATAAATCAATAAAAATATCCCATTGAATCATGATCCTACTAACATAATTATCAAATTAGTTTTTATTTTTGTAAGGTCTCACTCATTCCCGCTGGGATGCATTACCCAACAAGCTATTTGTTGAAGGAGAGCTTTGTTCACTCAACCAATGATCTTGGACTGAAACTGGGGAGCTAGTTTTAACATCATCGAATGAAGATAAATGATTCCCTCCCATTTGCTTCACCATCAACCTCCGGCTTTCAACGATCATCGACTTTTCTATCACTGTCTTGGTATTTGAAGATATCTCATTTTCGCCATCAGAGGACGGACAAGAGGAAACTGAAGGTGATTCAATACCCATACATGGAACCCAAGCACCAAGCCTGATGCGTTCTAGCTCTTCCACGACTTCGAGCATGGTTGGTCTCATGTCTGGATGAAAAGAAAGGCATCTAAAGGCAAGCTCAGCCACATTATGAATTGATGACAGTGTCCAAGCATCCCCTTCTAGGTTGAGGTATGGATCGACTATTTCGTCCACACAGCCTCTTCCTATCCGCTCAGTGGCAAGTGCGGCCAAGTTTACCTCACAATGAGGACGTGAGAAGTCGACCACTTTCAATGCAGTTATAATCTCAATAAGCACAACCCCGAAACTATAAACGTCGCTTTTATCTGAAAGATGGAAGTACTGGTGGTATTGAGGATCAAGATACCCTGGTGTCCCTTGAGGTGCAGTTGAGATGTGGGATGATTCAGTCATCCCAAGCCTGGAAAGACCAAAATCAGCTACCTTGGATCGATAGTTGTAATCCAAGAGTATATTGCTAGACTTTATATCTCGATGAAATATCGGTGGATTCACGGAGTGAAGATAGGCGATCGCTTTAGCAGTTTCAGTGGCGATGGTGAGTCGTACTGTCCATGGAAGTCCTTCACCTCTTTCCCTCTGCAGATGCTGCGATAAAGTTCCGTTAGGCATGAATTCGTAGACAAGGATCGGTTCACCCTCCTCGATGCAGCAACCTAAGAGGCGGACGTGATTCGGGTGACTGACAGAGGAAAGGAGCTTAATCTCATTCATTACTTGATCAATACTATCAGGGTCTCTATATCTGAACCTTTTTATAGCAACCAATTCATCATTGTGGAGTTTTCCAGCATACACTGTACCATAGGCTCCAGTCCCCAGCCTATGTTTATCAGAGAAATCATCGGTAGCTCTTTCGATTTCTCTATACTCATAGAAAGGAACATTCGTGTTGCCAGCAGCCTCACATAGACGGCGCTTTGCATTCATCAGTTTGTTTGAGGAATTACAACACCGCCGAATATAGAAGCATAAAAGAAGCACACCACCCATTAGCAAAGCACCAGCAGCAACAAGACCTAATAAGAAAACTTGGATCGTTGGTTACTTGAAGAACACGACACAGAAAATACAAGAATGATGAAAAACAACTATCCACAATTATGGTGCTTTGTTGCCTAATTACCTCCAACCAGAACACCAACACTTGTACCTCCCCATTTTCTGGATATGAATTTTGAAGCATTACACTTGAAAACTGATAATCATGGCAATCAGAAAAGGAGGAAAACAGGAGTTAGTAGTTTATCAATTAGCAAATTACAAGCGTCTTTTAACCAAAACTAGACCAAGCATTGAAGACATTTGTTGAAGAAGACGCCTAAATAATATAGAAAAAAAATATGAAGGTGAAACATTTATATGACTTACCTCTCCGGCAACCGCCACCTTCTTTGAATCCATCACCGTCGAACCCGTCACGGCAAAGGCACCTAAACCCCATCGTTTTATTACCATTCTTAACTTTCCTACAACTAGCATTTGCATCACAGTTACACTTCCCTTTAACCCACCACTCCAAGTTAACTCTCCCCATCTCCAATGAAAAAGCCGAGTCACTCGCTGGGTCGGCTAAAATCGTAGTCGACGAAAACAAGTAACGGCAGCGCATATTATTAACTTCATCGAAACTTAGCAACTGCCTACCATTTCTGCCGGTTAAACAACTCATGTTACCGCTCTTAGCAAAACAAGCTTTGAGTTTGAGTGATCTTTCTAGAAACGTTGAGCTTATTTCACAAGGAGCTTGTACGGCCTTGGAACAGTTTTCGAGAAGAAGATAATTGGCAGCCGAGAGAACGTAGTTTTCGCCGAATAGAACGGCGAGCGAAGCAATCGGTCGGTCGCATTTGGCTGGAAGGTCAACGATGATGTCGGTTGAAGTTACGTTCAATACATGGAAGCTTCCGATTTCGACCCCGGCACTTGAGCTGCAATTGAGTTGAATCGGACAACCCGATGAGAATCCGAAAGGAAATGGTAGAAATCTTGTGGAATTGCCCGTTACGCAGGAGCCTTGGCACTTGTTCCTCGAGTGAACTGAGTTTACTTGGGAAACAACGAAGAAAGCTGTTATTGTTATCGAGAAGTATAACTTCATCATCTTGGGATTCTCCAATAAGAAAACAGAGCAATCTTCAGCTACCTGGAAAGAAGAAGATAGAACAAAAACTGAGCTTCGCCATGAGAAACATATAAAATTAGTAAGTAATTTGTAGTTGAATTGCTCAATAGGGGGGGGGGGAACAAAATTGATGGGAGTGATTGACGGGTGTTATTTATGAGCTCACCTTCGTTTTGTTCTTCAATGAAATTAACTCCGATTTGTTCTTCAAAAGAAACTGCTTTAACCCTTTTTCATTTCTCTTGAACTTCTTTAGTTTGAATTTTAGGTTTTACTTAAAATCAAACGTAAAAGGGGAAAATTCGAGGGGAAGTTGGACTTTTTCTGGAGAGGAACAGAAAACAGAGTTTTTAAGAACTCCGTGTGTAAGGAATTTTATTTATGATGAAATGACTGGTATACCCTTATGCTGGGAACATGTGGGGAGTAATTAGACGAAAAAGCCATCTGATTAAATGAAGTGGACCCATCCCAGGGAATAATGTTGTGGTCAGCACGCTTGACTAAGAATAAGAAAACTGATCTCACTGCTGGCCTACCACAATTTGAGGGTTAAATTTCTCAAATTTGTTTTAAAATTTGGGGGTCTACACAACACAATATGCCCATAACGTGTTTATCTAAAAGTTCAAAACAAGTGATTAAACAATGAGTGCCACTTGATTTGTGGCCATCTTTTCCCTTATTGTACTGTTGGAACGGTTTACATAAATTACAATATGTGCGGCACATACATGTTAGATAATAGGCTTAAATGCACTATTGGCCCCTAAATTATACCATTTTTATCGGATTTCCCCCTAAAGTATTTTTGGAATGTTTGGTCTCCTTAAATTTAAATCGTTACCCGTTTGTCCCAATTCGTTAACTCTATTAAAAAACTGTGGTTCAGTCAGATTTTTTTTAACATAGCTAATGTTTTGGGACAAATTGGGTAATGATTTAAAGTTAAAGGGGCAAAATGTTTCAAAAAAAATATTTTAGAGGATAACTCGATAAAAACGATATAGTTTAGGGGCCAATTGTGCATTTAAACCTAGATAATATAACGAATGTTCCAGATTTAGATAATGATGTAGTTTCACATTTGATTCTTAGTATATTAATGATGTGGTTTTTAATAGAGAATCACCCCTATAAATATTCGTTTCATACTAAGTTTCTAACCATTAAAACATTCAAACTAATTTTATTTCAGAGAAAAACTTTATTTAATGAAATCTTGAGCACTTAAATTCTTTTAATAATTCAAAATTTTCATATAATACGATGATTTAACGTATTTGATATTGATATTACTATATCTCAATTTTTGACATACTATTAGATAATAGCTAAAACTATTTATAATTTCAGTTTTTGTTACGTTTATACTCGTTTTATGTTCGTATGTACGTGTAAGATAAAGTAAGACCCAAATTTGGTTATTGACTTGCTTGCACATGCAACCTGTACAAATAATGTAATACCATAGAATTTGTCACAATCGTGCTTTCACATCTTTCTTTTATGTTTATCTATCAAATTTATTGTTCTAAAGGCTAAAAAGGTAATTTAATCTTTAGTATATAATTTAATATTTATATTTAATAAGTTGGTTGTATATAATTTTATATGATATTAACTATTCAAAATTTAATATATTATTATTATTGAAATTATTCGTATTTTTATATAAATGTCGATTTGTAAATCCCGAGTACATTATCTTTCTCTTTAGAAGACGTGTTTCCTTCCATGTTGTTGGGTAATTTATTGTCGTATAGAATAAGATGTTTTTTTTCGAAAAATCATCTTTTTAATTTAATAATTTTGATCAGGCACCGGTCAGATTATATTTCTCAATCTAACACTTTTTGTCGTAAGGCGCGTCCCCTGCAGCGCGCTATACGCTGATTTAGCGTCACGTGGGGTAAGACGCCCCCTACAGCGCGCCTTATGCTGACATGGATACACGTGTGTATGACGCAGGGCAGGTTGGTAATTAAGGGTATAGCGCGGGGTAGGGGCCGCGTCTTACTTGTGATTCTGACACGCGTCAGAAAGGCGCGGCCCCTGCCCTGCGCTATACCCATAATTACCAACCTACCCCGCCCGTTCACACACACATCCCTCCCTAAATACCCCAATTCTCAATCACTTTCATCACACCAAATCCTCTCAACTTCTCTCAAATACTTTTATATTCTCTTATTAAGGTATATTTTATTATATTTAGTATTTTTTAGTAATTATTTTAATTGTTTAATATTTTATTTAATTAATTTTTTTTTACAGATATAAAATGGAAGGTGGTCTACTTTGGTTGGATGGAAATCATATATCTCGACACTTTACTGATACGGTAACATTTTAACGTTTTAATTAAATTAATTAATTAATTTAATGCATGATTATTAGTTTAAAAATTAATTTGTGTAATTATTTATATTTTAGGAGAGAGATTGTATATTAGATCATTTTATTATGAACCTTAAGCTAGTTATACCTACTCTTGTAATGCAGTATTTAGTATAGGCTGGATTTGGTCACCTAGGTAGATATCAGGGTCACTGTAAGATAGAACCAGACCTTATTTCTGCCTTAGTAGAGCGGTGGAGGCCGGAGACCCAACATTCCATCTTCCGTGCGGAGAGTGCATGATCACGCTTGAGGATGTTTTTATGCACCTAAGGCTTCCGGTGGATGGAGGTGTGATATCAGAGATAGCTTCCAGTGTAATATCGAATAACATTAACTTGAAGTAAATACAAAGTAAAGTACAAGAATTATTATTTGATAAACAACTACATCATTTTCTCATCAATTTTTACTTGATGACAACAAAAGTGAACATGTTTTTCTAGTGTGTCATGGGTTTCTATAATTCTCACATCTTCTGTCTTGTCTAGATCTTTCTCGAATATCCATATCGCAATGAATTCGATTGGATTTTGGATGACCACGCTCCCTCAATAAACTCAGATTTGGTACAATCGGAAGCTAATCTTGAACCTCATCAGAGTCTTTGTCATTACCTATGGGGGGAAACTCAAATTCGTATACCTTAAAAACTTCAGATAGTAGGTATACGGGATCCACAAAACAATTATAGTCTTGACGTGTATGCGAGCAAGCTGCTATCACATGAGAGCATGGATACTTCAGAGCTTGAAAAAACCCACAGTCGCACATTCTATCCCTTAGATTTACTCTTAACGACACAGCTTCAATCCCTTGAAGAGGTTGCGGCAACTCTGTGACACGAAACATTTCATAACTTCTAGAGAAGCTTGTTACAGACATTCCATTTGATGCAACAATTTTTTTCTGTATATCTGCAACTAATCTAGGGTGATAGACATGACCGCCTTGCATCCAGGTTTCAGTTTGTCCCCCGAGCTTCGCAAAAAGCGTCCTCAAACGAAAATATGTAGTTTTTACCAAAACCGCTACAGGTAAGTGACGTGCACCCTTTAAGGTTGAATTGATTGCCTCAACCAAGTTGGTCGTCATGTGTCCATATCGATATCCACCATCATATGCGTTCGTCCACATTTCTTTATCGATGAGGCTGATGTAATCGTATCCTTCCTCGTTCTTCGCCCGTAAATCTTGAAGCATTAATTCAAATGTTCGAGGAAAAAGTTCGTAACCTGATCAAAAAATGTATAACTTAATAACTTGATTTCTTTGCAAAATTAAAATGATCAAAAAATGTATAACTTACTAACTTGCTTTCACTTACCAATGCGCACAATTAATTGACGCTCATCATTCTTCTTGTACCTTCCATGGTAGTTCGCAGCAATGTGTCGGAGACAATACCTATGTTGGACAAAGGGTGGTTGCCACATTGGACCCAAAGACTCCATTGTTGCTTTGATCTCAGCTCCGCGATCTGAAATGACACAGATTTTCTCCCTCGTGATAACATGTGCACGTAAGTTTCGGAGGAAAAAAGCCCAAGAATCTGTATCTTCTCCTTCGACAAGAGCAAAAGCAACTGGAAGAATGTTGCGATTGCCATCTTGGACAACTGCCAATAATAAAACTTGCTTGTATTTTCCATACAAGAAAGTCTCGTCGATCTGGACCAAAGGCTTGCAGTATTTGACAACATTAACGCACTGTGGATAAGTCCAAAAAACCCGGTAGAATTGGCATCGATCGCGTAGAACTCGATCATTATGGTATGCATAGGAGGTTTCAAAGTCCACAATTGTCCCAGGATTCAACGTCCGCACCAGCCTAAACCAACCTGTAAGTTCGTTGTAAAATGCATCCCATTCGCCATGAAGTTTGACAATGGCATTTTGTTTTGCCAACCAAGCTTTTTTATATGAGACATTGTACCCATACTACGATTGTATAGCTGAAATCAACACTGCAATAGCTATATGAGAGCTTGCTTTTACCATGGGCATGATGGCTTGGCATTTCACTTCAGAGTCCAAGTTGGGATGATCTTGGTTTACCCCTCCAGCACAACATGTGTGAGGACCATTGTATAATGTTAGTTCACATATGTTGTTTTTCCTCTTCTTCTTCGATATGTGAACCATCCAATTGCATCTGTTTTCGCGTCGGGTACAGTAGCATACATATTTTTCGATCGTGGAGCAGTCGACTCTGGACTGAACAGAATTACGGATATTGTAATTTTTTATAGTCATCATTGCTTCTTCCTTGCTTGAAAACTCCATGCCTAAAGATAACTCACCATTATTTATTGATGAGTAATATCCATAGTCATCGAGATGAGGCATATCCACAAATTCTGGCCCGTACATTGCATCATAATCAGGTTCATACATGTGTGCTGGTCAGTTTGTGCCACATTTGCTGGAACTTCATCTACATCATCATCACCATCGGAGTTGAATTACGGTGATTCTGGGTGAATGAGTAGTACAGTCTCAGCACCATCCGCACCAGGCTCATGAAGCGGTTCTTCTAGTGGAGATGATGGTTCCTCCATGCTCTACACATTTAGGTAGAAGAACCTACTACTGGCACGCCTTCCCCTTGAACTATAAGGCATATCTGAATTGAGATCGAAAAAGATCACAGTCGAATGCCTCCCCCTGGAGCTTGAAGTTATCGTGTCAAATGGAAGCTGCACAAATTGTTGCATCGATGGCATCTCCATATTAAGGTCAAAGAAATTTACAGATGAATTTCTTCCCCTCGAACTGGACGCGATGTTGCCATACGAATTATTCATGGACCCACCTAGGTACATATCGTAAGAAGTTGCGGATGAATGTCTCCCCATTGAATTTGATGTGC